AAATCACTGAAGGTTGAAGTGAAGGCAGCCCCCCCCCCTCCCATCTTGGGCCGTTCTGATAGGTATGTGACAAGCGCTGCTAATTTAACAGATTTTCCTTCATTTATTACTCCTGTAATTTTGTTCCTCTTGCAGGTATAGTCACAAATGACGGTTCACACTGAATGTGTCTTGTAACATGTAATAGCTGTGGCTACATGATGGATTTTTTTTTTTTTTTATTTTGCTGTTGTGCGTGTTTGAATAGCTGAATAACAAGTTGCTTTTCCCTCCTCTAGAACATATCCTCCCCCGAGAGCTCCCCAGCGCATAGGCCCGAGTCCCTCTCACCAGAGGTAGTTATCGCCAATATGTCTCTTGCTTTAGGTGTTCAGTGTGTGGGCAGCGGAAGTACAACTGTCACTTGTGTATTCTCATAGGATAACACCTAGATGATCAAAATTATTTAAAAATGAATAAAAAATAAAATTATTCGTAGTTTTACTTTATGTCAAGTTTTTTTGTTGAGGCCTAAAAATGTACTATATATATATATCTACCAAAGTCTGCTCAACTGATAGAGGGACAGAAAACAAAGTGTTATAGGAATGCAGTCCTAGCGAACATTATGTAAATGGAGGTCCAGTTGTGTAACTGTTAAATGTTTCTCTGTTCTGTGCTAACTGGGTCTCACACTTTTAAACCTTAAGAACCAGTTCAAACCAGAGTGCGGTGCAAGCAACCCGTGTTCCGTGTGCGTTTCCCATATCGCGTTCAGAATGCGATCTGCATCAGGTGTCAATATTAACCCCTTGGTGCCGGCGCCTCCCGGCCCTTTAAGGGTTTCAGAAGCCAGGAGGTAGAGCAGGGTTTTAGGGTCATGTGACCGCCGTGATTCGCTATCACGGTCACATGATCAGGAAAGGTCCCGATCGAAAAAGGAAACCGGGACCTTTCCGTGAGTACTGGATATGTGTGCTGGGAGTGCGCACATATTTTTTTCTTAATTGCAAGCAAATGTGCGGCTGCTCGGTGTCAAGGCCCAGACGCCGGGGGCCGGGAGGCCGCACATTTACGTGTGGCCGGCGCCAAGAGGTTATTGGCATCCTAAATGCCCCCATTTGCCTGTAGCAGATTGCATGTTACAGTAGTACCAGGTGATCCGGTTGCTGTGCGTTTCAGAAAGTAGTGCATGCACTACTTTTGGTGCAGCGAAATTTCAGCCCATTCAGAATGAATGGGCTAAAATCTCTGCACAGAACTTTCTGTGAAAAGCACAGGAACCTACAGCCCATTCCTGTGCAATTCCCAGTGTGAACAGTCCTAAAGCCTAACTGCAGCCAAAATGTTTTTTTTAAATTCTGAAAGGAGCCTTTGTCCCTCTTGGGGAGGCATTCTTACCTCTTATGTGGTCACCACAGCAGGAACAAGACACTTAGGGGTTGCTTTACTAAAACTTGGGAATGCAAAATCAGGAGCAGCTCTGCTTAAAAGCTGATCAATTACCTTTTTTTTTTTTTGGTCAAAGCTTAATTGAACAAGGTGAAGTTAGAAGACTGGCTACCATTCATTGCTGCACCAGATTTTGCATTCTCCAGTTTTAGTGAATCAACCCCTTAGTATGTTACCAATGACAGCACTATTTCCCCCCCCCATCCCACAAAGGTGCGCTTTCACTTTTTCCAGAGAGCGTGAAAAAAAAATTCTCCCCCACATTTTTTTTTTTTTCTTGCAATTCACATTACTGCGCTGTGGGTGCGCTGCATTTCCCACAATCCTGCATACTGCATCTTTGGTGCAGTTTTTCAAAAGCATACCAGAAAGGCACCTTTCATTGTAAGTCAATAGGAATTATTCTGCATTTTTGGTGACTTTTTTTTTTTTCCATGTTTCACATGTGCATGCTGTGGGAGTAAGGGAACCAGAAAGCACACCAAAAATGCATTAAAAGAATTTGAAAAATGCAATATGCATTTTTGAAAAACACATACTGTGTTTTTTAAGGGCCCTTAAGGCCTCCTGGTTATGCCTGCCTGAGTGCAGGACAGAAAAAGAAAATCTCCCTTGTGGAATACCTGAACAGAAATGAATTTGATACTGGTATAGGCACCATCCATTTACTATTCATCCTCATCAGTCCCTGCTCTCAAGGTGCTTGGAATGTAAGGTCCCTATCTCTTACATATGTACCTTGAGGAAACCCGCACAAACACAAGGACAACAGTGTCCTGGTTCAGCCTTGGACTGAGGTACCCAGTGCTGGAAGGCAGATGAACTCGCCACTGTTCTGCCACACATTTTAACCCTTCCTAACTATCCAAAACCAAAGTTTTAGCTGGAGTTGACACTTTAGGGTAAGTTTTCTTAGATGTAAATAGTTTAGTGCAGAGTGTGAAACACAGCTAGCAGACCTGCTGGACTTGACAAAAAAAAGCCCACCACTACTTCTATGGCAGATTCCCAGACCATGTAACTGACTTGGCCACAGTCCTGTCTGTCCTATTAAAGAGGTAGGAAGTATGTCCCTCCTCGGACACTGCTGTCTGTTGTAGTCTGACCCCTTGCTATTTATAGGTCTATATAACTGCTATAAAATCTGAAAAAAAAGCTTTTGCTTAGGAGTTTTCCACTGACACTGCAGGTCAATATAAAACACTCAAGTTTAGTATTTCATATTTGATTAAAAATAGATATTTTTCATAAAAAGTAAATGGGGGCTTTTATATGTATAAAATATTTTCTTTAATGGGAACAACTTGCCATGGATAAGGGAGTGCCTTATTTTTAAAAACCCTTCCCTTTATTTTTAAATATGAATAATTTTTTTATAATGTTTTATGAAGTCTACATGAATTTGAGTTTTCCTCAGTTGTTTGAGTTTGTAAAATGGTAGAGAATATACCAAAGTGCACAGTATTAGATCAGCCACGATCACCTTGTAATGCTTTGCATGAAGACACGCATGTGCCATAATATAGTTAAAAACGTGAGTGCTGTTATTGCAAAAATAATTCATTTTTTTCTCTCCTGCATGTGGTTATCCTCTGCGCTTTTTTTTTTTTTTTGCATTGCATGGAAGCTTGCTGAATTCTAACAAAATAAACAGCTATTAGCTTTAATTTCTTGAAGTTTAATAATGAACTCTTAAAATATATAATTTTTTTGGATAAAGTAAGGGTTGGGACCCCTTCATAATTTTTTATTTTTAATTTTTTTTTCTCTCTATGGGCATTTAGTCAAAACATGAGGTTCTACCCTTTCCCAAGTATATTCAACACTTGGCGGGGGAACAGTCTGACGGGCCTCATGTAGCCTTGTATCCATCGTATAGCTGGTTGTAGATGAAGACTTTTCATCCAAGCAGATTCATCAGTTCTGAGGAGTGTCGGGAACATGCTTCAGTATTTGTGTATATTCCTGGCTCTCAAAACTGAATAGGCTACTTAAATGAGTAGCAAAACATCTTCAGTGTTTTCGAGCAAGTCCAGCAAAATGTGACTACTAGCCAGGCAAGAGTTCTAGGTGCTTTATTAACATGGAGCAATGGCAGTGAATTGCTGTAACCCACAGCAACCAATCAGTGAACTTTTTGGTGCTTGCACTTTTACAAAAAGTTGGATATTTGCACTAACCGGCCTTTCAGACAAGTACACTGTTTGAACTTGTATGGCCTTCCCTAGGGCTTGAGCTCACAAGCTTGTTTAGATCTGGTGGCTGACCATTTTTAGATTCAGTGGTAGACTTCAGATGGTGGTCTTTTTAAAAGTCCACAGACACCTGACCATGCTTCTGTAATAGAAAAGATCCCATATTATAGGCACCAGCTAATTTTTTGGTACGTTGGCTGCCCGTCAGTCATGTTTTATGTCCTTTTTACTTCCAAGTTTTTGTCTAAAAATTGAGAAATAAGCTAAAGACAAAGCACCTGTAGGATACTTATTTAGCTTCCAACAGCTACTGGGACAAAAGAAGATTTAGAGAACAGCCGATCATGTAGCACTTTTCTGAAATTTTTCCTGACCTTAATTAAAGCGGACAGAGGATTTGTCCCTGCATAAAGTACTATTGATCTTTGTGTTGTCTGCATTTTGCCTTTGCCTCCATTTCCTGTTTGCCAAAAATGTGACACAATTTTGAAGACACTGTGCTTTAAAGTGGACCTGAACTAAGAATGAAAGATTTGCTATCTAGGAATCATCTGAAAATGTTTATATTCCCTAAAGCAGCCCATAGATTATGCAATTTTTTTCTTTTCTTCCACCACAGGTGGAAGTTAGATTGACTTCAGTACAATCAGCCTGCCCATAGATGGGTCAAAATTCTGCAGGTTCCTGCTTAACAGGATGGATTTCAGTGGTAGTCTAAACAAATCTACCTTGTCATCTCACCTTGTATGAATACCCCTCCTGTCCCTAGGCACCCCTGTGCCTTGAGCTTCATAGCTGTATACCTGCAGTATGGAATCCAAGACACTGCTTCCTCTGAGCCGCTAGAGCTTTGGTGATGTCACTACTGTGCTTCTTACTGTTCTCCTTGTTGGGGATGAAGCTGTACCCAAGGACCTGCAGTGCAAAGATCTGTGCAACTTCCTGAATCTTGCACCCACTGGTCATCAGATCAGTAGTCATCAGGGGCAGTGACAGAGAAATGGTCAGCTGCTGGGAGCCTTCATCCAATACTGGAGACTATTCCATTTCCCTCCACTTGCTTTTTTGCCACAGCTTCCACAGTTCAGGTCCATTTTAAGCACATTTTCCAAACTTGGTCCCAGTCCAGAAGTTCCACCATCAAACGAGATAAGAGCTCATTGTCATTCATGAGCTGCCAGTCATGCTAATTTAATATGTGATGTCTATGCAGACTGTGGGTTTAGGAGGACCAGTATGAGAAACCTTGTATTTATGAAAACTAATTTTTGATAGCTGGTTCAGAGTTGAAAAATGTAACTAATTTTTTTTTTTTTTTTTCTTTCGATCTCCCTTTCTTTTTCATCCCTTCATTGTCTTTGCTCCTCATCTCAGCCTTGTCTTCGGCCTGATGTTGACCTGGTGAAGCCCACTTTCTTGGATGTATCTGTGGAAAATTGCCAAGAACTCCAAACTACTGTCACCACGGGCCTGTCCGATATTGCTGCTCAGTCGCCCAACGCGTCTCTGCCGTACAGCGGCTCATCGGAGTCAAATGCTCTTGGAAAATCTGGAGAAGGCTCAGTGCTGCTAAGAACTTCGGAACAGACTTTCCGGCCTGAGTTCAATTTAATGTATGCTTTCTCCCCGTTAAATGCTATGCCACGGGCAGATGGCTCATTACGGGGATCACCTCTTGTCGGAGAAAGGAAGCCTTCCCAGTCAGATATGTACTGTGGCTCTCCAGTGGAGGCCTTTTATAACAGGGCAGGTCCTGGACCTTTAAAAGAATCTGCACAAGGATCCATGTCTCCGTGCAGTGAAAGAGCTTGTGAGGGCATCAGGTCTTCTCCTCAGAACCCACCACAGAGGAAAAAGGTAAGGATCCGTCCTAAGTTGAAGCTTAAATCCAGCCAAAATTTTTTGTTTTTGGATAGACTTTTTAATCTATAATTCTATCAAATTTTGTGTTGCCGTTATTGTCTCCAGATTGCTTCTTGCATCCTGTCCCTTTTGAGAGTCCCAGGATGAGAACCATGGCTGGAAATAACAAGTTCTAACCTTTTCCCATTTTAAAGAAAAATATTTTGTTGCAGTCTGACTGCAATGAAAACCCAGTTCTATGCTTTTCTCACATTGTTGTCCAAAATTAGAGAGAGCATTTTGCCAGTGTGCTTTTTGCTATTTTTGAGTAAAATATTAGATGTTGCATCGAGTAAATGGATACCAAACAAGTCATGCTTTAAAATTGTGCACACCCATGGAATGGCAAACTATGGTATGTTATTTATCCATAGGTGACATGTTAAAGGCCTTTACAGGTTACCAGTGTAGAGATTTGGAGGTCTGTGCTAGAATTATTGCTCTCACTTTGACACTCGCGGCGATACCTCACGTGGTGCGATCCGATTGCACGGGGGGATGGGAGCACTTTTAAATTTAAAAAAAAAAAATTTTTTTTTTATATATATATATAATAAAATATTTATTTTTTTTTGGTATAAATTTATTGCAATCACAAAGGATGAGCAACATTCCTTGTTATAGCATGGGCTGTGACCGGTACTCTTTATGGAGTGATCAGGGTTCTATTAGACCACAGATCTCTCCTTTGCACTCCTAAGCAGCCGTTCAAACCAAGATCCATTTGATTGGCTTCTTTACAAGCAGGTAATGTTTAAATAGACTGAAACTGGAAATGACAAAATCCTTGTTGCTTCTTGTTTCTGATGATAGAGGAAGTGCCTCTCATTCTGTCTGGACCATCTGATGTGTTGTGAACCTCTCTGATGGAATGGGGAGAGCGCGGTAAAGGAGGTGGGGACCCCCTTCAGTCTGCTGTAAAAGCGATCATTTTTATGTTGTAGGGAATAGCCGGTTCGTTTAAAAAAAAAAAAGAAAAGCTAGATAATGGCGGCAGCCATGACCCAGATATCCACCGCTCCCATCCGAGGATGTACAGGTATGTTCTAAAGGTTGGGAGTGGTTAGTTTCAATTGCTGATCTACCTACTTGCCAACATGGTAGTCGAGCACCTTTTCTCTGCAAGCATTGCCATGTATGTACCACCCACTACCGGAGGGGCAGATACAAGGCCAGTTACCTTGCACAGGGAGAGAGCAACTGGAAGCTCCTGCACAGAGGCAATGTTTCATGTTGAAATATTGCACAGATCTGGAGGAAAAACACCAAGCACACCATGATTCATGTAAGAATACACATGCCTCTTGTCTTTAGGCTGATTTGCTTTTCCCAAAGGTCAGCTTTAAAGGCCTTTCCCTTTGTAACAGATTGCTGTTTGATAAGCTCTGCTTCATAAATATCAAAAGTGTATTAAGGTAGATGGTACAGTGTTAATGAAAGTGTACAGGACTTTTCATTGGTAAACCGCTCACAACAGTCATGATTCCATTTGAGCATTGCAGTTTGGAGGATAGGTTCTGTTGAGACAAGTTTAGTGGTTTACGGATTTATTTTTCGTGCAGGTATCACTCTTAGAGTATCGGAAGAGGAAGCAAGAAGCCAAGGAGGTGACGTCTTCCCCTGGTGGAGACATAATACGCTGCTGTGCTGGGACTCCAACTCGCCAAAGCAGCAACGGCTCCATTTCTGACACAGACCTGTCTGCTGGGTTGCAGCTCCAGGCACCAACGTCCCCACAGAGTGGCTTCTCTTCTCCCTCCCATCCGTCTATGCCTCAGACCGAAGAGGTCAGCCCTACCGAGATGAGGACAGTAAGCTCTGGTCAGAGTAAGGCTGTGGAGAACATCAGTAGCCGCTGGTAAGTAAATTATATATTTTGTATTGGAATTTGAGAGCATCTAGTCATAGTACTAGAAGGTAAAAGACTCGTCTGGTCTGAAGTCTTTTAGATTATAAATTATAGAATGTCTAAAGTGTATTTAAATAACTCTTTTAGATGGACTATGAAATGGGTTAGAACCTTGGTCAGGATAATATTGCGGTCTTTGTGCCTGAGAGATTTTCCCTCTGTCCTGGTGACCATTGTTACTATGTTGGGAATCCAAAACTTTACATTTGTCAAGGGAGGAGGAATAGAGGGAAAATCTTTCAATGGGGTCCCCTTTTCCAGTGACAAGAATGTAAGACAGGTTTCTCACTTAGGTTGTGTCTGGGACAGGGGGAATAATCTCTCAAACATGAGAAAATGATGGAGTGTTAACCATTCCCTACTGTATCCATAATTAAAGTATATCATTTTTTGCTTTGGATTTACTGTAACGTTTTGTCTTGTTTGCTGATAATTCACACAAGGAATGTATTGGCAGGATGGTTCCAACATCAGTGGAGCGGCTACGTGAGGGGCAGGGAATCCTGGAACGTGTCTTGCGGAGTGGGGTAAAAGTGCAGCAGCGGGGAGAGCGATCACCTTCCAGAGACAGTAGTCTGGACAGAGAATCTGGTAACAATAAAAGCACTTTATACTTTTGGCTGCGCTTTACTTGATTTATTATATCTGTAAATAACATTTGTGCTGTAGTGAAAGACAGAAAAATCTGCATCTGCAAGTAGCGTTTCTCCTACCCTAAAGCAGTGCTTTTTTTATGTTTTTATTTTCCCCAACAAAAGTTGTAATAAGACCTACGGCACTGGCTGAGACAGGTGTGTCCACCTGAGAAATCTGGCTAATAAGTGGTTTAAATCAGAACTCCAGGCAGATACAAAAGACCCAAATTAACGTGATCTGTATTCATCATTTTTGTGTGTGTTTTTTTTTTTTTTTTTTTTTTTACATATGCAATGAATATAAGCACCTAAATATGATCTGATATCAGCCTCTTGCAGTCCTTGTACAGCAGACCTGGAGTGTGAGAGGAAGAAGCACAAGGTTCTGATCAGTTCTTTGCTGTCAAAAAAACCATTCTGATAGGAAGTGAAAGATAAGCTCATCACTGCTGCATCTTTTTACTGTCCAGTCATAGGCTTTGGGGGTTCCAAGGTTACCAGGGCTCAGAGGAAGTAGGTTGAATGGCGACTGCTCTCACACTTGAGACTTCCAGTGGCGCAAAAAATGCTACAGGTGATATATCTAGATTGAGGATGAATATTGCAGCAAAAGCTGGTTTTGTTTCTTTAATTGGGCTATTCATTTTATATATTTCATTTGTGGCTGTTCTGCTTTAAATCTCTAAGATCCTCCAAAAACAAATATTCAGGGCAAAGTGTGCCTTTTAATCTGCTTCTGATCACCATCAATGTCCGGGATTGTTTAAAAAAAAAAAAAAAAAAATAAGCATTTTCTAAAGCTATCCCTGGCTGTCAAAATGATAAATCATTTGAGACCATGAATGGTAGGTGCACACAAATTATAATGTTGCATTACAAGCTTTTCATCCATTTTTGAAATGTTTGTGTCACCAACTTTACAGAGAGCCCTTGGCATGTAGTCCTAAGCATTCCTGTCAAGTTGGTGGCATATGTTAATGCTTAGGGCAGTGTTTCTCAACCTTTCTTGAGTCAAGGCACACTTTAAAATTTTGGTCAGTCCTGAGGCACCCTTTAAGATTATGGACAGTCTTGAGGCACCCCGTTCTAAAATGTGAAAAACTATAAAATAGTTTTATATAACTCAGCAACACCCACACATGTAGGATACCCAGGTGATTTATTCTTCTGAAGCAAATACACTTTTGCACACTGGTACTGACTAGTATTCCAGTGTTTCACCTCTCCCTCAGTTTTTCTCCATCGCTGAGCTAATATGACCCCTGCACTGATAGAGAGGGCCAATGGAGGGTCAAACTAGGATGCTGTGCAGGCAACTGACATCCTCCTCATCAGTCGATGTCATTGGTTGTCAAGACGCTGGCGGCTAGAAGGTTATAATGGTACGCAATAAACACCTGTGGCTTTGTGTAACTAAAAGGCAGACTTGTTCCACCGGCTGGCTTGTATACAAGTTTTGGTCAATTTTTTAGACATTTTGCCAAGGCACCCCTGAAGAAACCTCAAGGCACCCCTGCCTGGGCACCCTGGTTGAGAGGCTGGCTTGGGGTATATGTGCTTTGTGCTCCACAGCCAAGGGAAAGCCCCTCTGTGTGTTGTGCAGTACTGCCCATGTGGAGCCCAGGTACTCATGGGACTATATCAACTAAGCAGTGCATGATTTTCCTCCTTCAGTGTATGTTAGGCATATTTCAAACATTTTGTATTGTCATCTCTCCGTTCGGCCATACTGTTCGTACTTAGTGAATCTCGGAACAGACTAGAATACATGACGCAAAGCCTTTAATTTGTATCACCAGCTCACTCTAATTTGCAGTATTTGTCTATCCATAATATCAGTATGTTGAAGTGCCAGGTAATTCACAGCGAGGTTTGAACATAACATTTTTGTTTCCATCACCTTTTCATTTCACAAGACCTGCAAAAATTATTCAGCGCTTCTCTAAACACTGACTTGTTTTCATCACAGAGGATGGAGACTCAGAGGCGATGAACATGGCTGTTTCTAAAGGACCAGCCGTCTACAGCCCTTCCAGATACAACTACCAGGTAATCATTCATGATAAAACAGGACATAAAATGGTTCTGCAAACCCCTTTTTACTCACAGAAAGCAATTTGTTATAAAGAACATGGGCATCCCCACCATCCCTGCCTGAACCGTAAAAAAAAAGTACATTTTTAATCCGGTCCAGTTATGTGTTGTCACAGCTGCAGCTCAGGGAGTGCTTGACAACAACAGGGAATTCTGGAAACCATGACACCACCCATAGGCTCCCATAGCAAAGCCATTGTTGGCGTTCCTCCTCTCCCTTACAGCGGCCGTTCACTGACACAGGAGCCGGAGCTGCAGGATCACATGACTGGAGCAGATTAAAAATAGGTAAGTACACAGATCTTTTCTCTCCTAGATTGTAAGCTCGAAAGAGCAGGGCCCTCGATCCCCTCATGTTTTGCATTGTATTGGTATTGTTCTGTCACATGTTCTGTCCCCCTTTGTAATGTACAGCGCTGAGCGAACTATTGGCACTTTATAAATACTGTATAATAATATACAAGTTAGGAGGAGGGGGAGGGAACATTTTTAAGAATAGGTAGTCTTTTCTTCTACTTCAAAGATGTTGACATTCATTGAATACCACTGGTTGTCTTCTAACTCGCCCACCATGCAAGAAAGGGTGGAGAAAAGGTCAATCCGATTTCACCCTTAGGACAGTTTCTCTATCAGTACAGAGGGTGTCCTTATATTTTGACAACATGCTGAATGGCTGGCTAAACAGCCTACCCTTGCACCCCTTTTAAGATAAGTGCTTAGTGGATACAATCCCTAGATATAAAATTCTGAGGATATAATGTATTTTTCAATACTTCAATCCCGCTGGACACGTATAGAAAACATCATCAAGGGAACTTTTCTTAAAAGTATAACTCTAAAGCATTTAATCTTACAAAGACATGAAAGAGTACTATGTCTGAATGTAGGCTGCACTGTTTTGGCCTTTATATGTTGTGTATTTTGTTCTTTTGTTTTGTAACAAAAACCAGAAAGCTATAAGGAACTTTTGTTTCACAATACAAATTAACCTTTTGCGGTTCAAAGTTTGAAGCTCCCCTTTGCAATGTAGGCTTGCTGGTATCCAGGAGCCTAAACTTCAATCCTCTTTAGTTTCTATAATACAGTCAGTCTAAAATTCAGTGTGCCAGATCCTTAATTTTCTTTCATGTATAAATCTCCAAACTGATTTAAACACAATTACTAAAATATGGTAAAATCTTTAACTTAATGTAATTCCTAAAGATGTTTTAAAAATCTGCATTTTTCATTAAAAATATACCAGGTCATGCCAACAAGGTTTTTGTTTTAGACATTTCCTGTTATAGAACAAAAAACTGTCTGATTATCTCAAAAGCAATGATGACCTAGGTGTGGAAATTAAAACTGATAAATTACAAAAGAGCTGTGTGTATGTGTCTCCACGCTAAGGACACACTAGGCCTAAAGCCTCAATTTTATTTCATCTTATAATAAAATGGCACAAATGTATATAAATTATAATCCAACAGGTGTGTATTGGGTAATGGGAGGTCCTTGCCATGGAATCTCTTAAGGAAAACTGAGCAAATTCATTTTTCCTCTTAGTATGTCACCACTAGAAACCCCCTCAGCGCACCCTGAACAAAAACAAAAAAGCACAGAAAGCGGTGAACCCACACCTTCGTTTCCTGTTATAGGGGGAAAACTGTTCCCCAACTTTGCTCCTGTTTGATGCCTGTCTAATGCTTTCTTGGTGGAGGCTAAAAGCGGCCATGCCAGCACACATTGCACAGTCAAGATTCTCTGTTCTTAATGAGAGGAAACCATTGCTAAGCCATGTTGTGCAGCCATTGCTGAGGTTAGGGCCCTTTCACATGGGTGGCTTCTGTGAGCTGATCCCCTGCTGTTCGGAGCAGAGTGGGCAGATGACAGGTAGGTCCGTGTCTGTTTAGTTACAGCAGAGCAGTCATGGACAAACCTCAGGAGTAAACGGACTCTGCTGCCGGTTTACATCTGTCTGCCTCTGATCCGGTCCACCCAAGTGAAAGAGGACGCAGTCCTCGGTTTTTCTTAGCGGACTGGGTCAGACCCAGAGGTAGGCGGGTGTATACGGACACAAGTCCATTTACACCCACTTTTCCTTAAAAATGCATGGGCCATCTCATCAGGTCCGCCTGAAAAACTGACAGCGGACCTGATCGGATCGCCAGCATGAAAGGGGCCATAGGCCCCATCTGTTCTCTGGTTAAGTTACTCTTCCTTACATTGTTCATTGGAATACTGCTTGCATACTACCGAAACATTTAGCACATACATTAGCATTTCCAGTCCTTGGATACTTATTTGCAGTTTAAATGTTCTTGTACAAGGTTTGCACACTCCTCACCTGTTCCATTTTTTCCAGTTCCTGCAGTGTGACAGTCCTCAACAAGAGACGATCAACCTCCTCTCTCAAAGCTCGTCACCGTTCCGCGGCCCAGCTGCTCAGCCCAGTGGTTACAGCTATAGGACACTGCAGAGGACAGGACACGGTCACAACGAGTCGTCTGTCATTTCCACTTCCTATTCAAGTCCTTCCCATATTGCTTCCACAGACTCGCCCAGTACCCAATGTTCAGGGAGCTCTGGGTATTACAACAGCCAGCAGCTTTATGGGAGCAATGCTGGCACGTGCCAGCCAAGGAAAAGCTTCCATCATCGAGGCCCCAGTCGTGAGGCAAGTCCAGCCCAATTGCTCAGGACAGACTCTATACCCTCAGACTCACAAGCCAGCACTGGGGCTTCTGGCAACTCCACCCCTCAGGGGTCCAGATCAGACTCTCGGACTATAAACATGTCAGGCTCCAGGATTTCTACTGTGTCTAGCCCGCAGCATTATCCACAGCGCACCTCTAGTGTTCACCAGTATAGACTGCAGCAGATGCAAGGCTCAGGAGTTAAACGCCGCAGACTGGCCTTTCATAGGACTGCTTGAGAGGGGAGAACAGCATAGCACTATCCTGTCAGCCATTCCTAACATCTGCCCCAAAAAGGGGGGATGGATCAAAAGGGTGGCACAGACCTGCTCCAGAGGAGCTTGATTGGGTTGGTTTTGGACTGAAGAAAAGGTGGAGGCAAAAGCTTGCTGGTAGTATCAGCTCCCACTCTCTACACTCACACATTGCAAGAAAAGTGAACACCTTGAGAATCAATTTCAGTTGTGTAGACCTTCAATATCATGCAGTTGCTCGGTTTTTCTCTCTATCACCAGAAACCTCCTGTAGTCACTTGTGCAGTAAGGACAACTTTTATATGAAATAAGAATTAAATGGTTAATAAAAAAAGATGAATTTAAAGGGCAGGGAGAAAGGGGTTTAAAGAAGCACCTATATTTGTAGCATCGGGATATAACCGTTTTTTTTTTTTTTTTTTTTTTTTTTCCCCGTGGGGTTGAGGGGTGGCTAGGGGATCTGGGGTAGGGGCCAGAATTATACAGTTTGGCCAATCATTCCTGAGACACACAGATCTGTCCTCCATTCCTCCGTATTGGGCGCCACCACTGCCAGTTGCAAGGTGACATTTGTTAACATTAAAGGGGTTCTTGAAAGTAAGACTGTTTAATTTTTTTTAAATTCATTTTACTTTTATTTCTTGTTATCGGGAGAGTTAAAAGCTTAGACTGGTAGGAAACTTGTCAAACTTATAATACAGTTCGCTTTAAAGGTTTTTGATGGGACTTGAAATACAACAGATACTGTACATGTAGCGAGATATCATCTTCTCTGTGATAAGTCCTGATTTACATGTTAAAAGTAGCCGTTCCAATGCTAGCTAATAGTCACTTAAGTAAGCAGCAGCTAGTCTGTCGCATTTTGTGGTTTTAAAATGGCAGTGATGTGTCTGTAACCCTTAGCAGCCAGAGCTCAATCTTATGTTTTATCGACTGCTTTAGATTACAGGAGACCATTGCATTTCTCTTGATTCTCCAGGAAAGAATTCAGCTTTTCAGTGACGAAGGGTGGAGCTGCTCTGTAATTTATAAAATTTTCTGGGTTAAATATCTGGAGAGAGGTCAGATGGGCTTACACAGGTTGGCCGTTGCACAAGCTATCTTTGCCACAGGTTTTTTTTTCCACCGGTGACCTTGGCACAGTATCTCTGTGAAGAGTCTCATTTAACTGGACATTCTACTTCTACTAAAGCTTGGCACTGGTGACTTCAGATAACATCCAAAATCTTCTGCCGCTGTTACTACTCTGTGGATTATAAATCTCTGAACAGCACCCCCATGAGTAAGTGGAAGTGTTTCTTGGGGCATAACTATGGGACTTGTGTCGAGGGGCTTTGGGCTTACATTTATAGGCAAATGCAGTGTCATTGCAGATGCATTCTGCTTAATTTAACATGAGATCTGATATCACGGACGGGTGCAGATGACCTGTTCACCTCTTATGCTGCATCGACCTGTCCAATTTGTTTTTGCATATTCCCATTGAGTTGTATAGGGAAAGAAGCTGTGGTTACACAAAAGCCCCTCCACATAGGCCCTTAACGTGAATTGGTCATCAGGGCAGAATTGCTAAAACTGGAAGAACACCGCTCTGTGTGCTGCAATGTCATCTACCCTGATTTTCTGTTGGGTGGCTCCATCTTCCAACCCAACAATGTATGTATGAGCCCCTTTTTTATCAAGTACCACCATCCTGTGTGAACTCAAATTCACCCTGATCTGATCCAAAACTAGATTATGCAAAATTAGAGGATGTTAGAGGCAGTGGGGATGTGAACGGGGCCTCAAACATGGCTGAAGGATGGTGTGGCCCAACAAAGAAACCAAGCCTTGGGACAATACCTATTCAGCCAGTTTAACTGCTGAAAACTAGAGCTGATACCTGCACTGGAGTCCAGTTTCAATTTTAGATACAAAAACAATTTTGCTACTTTGGTTTAGGTAAATATTCTTGCCGTTTTTTATTGTTGTTTTGTTTCCCTGGAGGCCAATAACCTCATGTGCTGTAAATGCATGGCAGATCTGTGACGACTGAACAATGTAAAGAGCAGAATCGGTTCCTATGTATTTTGAGTGAGAACGTTGGCTGTATATAGGCTTGAGTCCTTGTAACAACTGTACATACTCTAAAGCAGGTTTTCATGTTCCAGGTAACTGCTGCATTGTACTATGCTGTATAGTAACGGGCATCCTAATGATAACCTATATTTTTGTATGGAAAAGAAATGTCCTTTTTTTTTTTTTTCTTTTAATTTAACATTTTGTGCTTTAAAGTTCTGTTCTTCACATGTATTGGGCAGGGCTCCCAAAAAATGAAACCTATGTGCTTTATGTTGGCCATTTATTAGAGGCATTGATGTTTGCACCGAATTCGAGACAGATTGAATGTTGCCTATAGCAATTGCTGGTAATTGGGATTACAGCTGTTTGTCGCCAAATACTGCTGTGTACCTTTGTTAGAGCAAAAGGGGTTGTCTATTTTATGTATATGGGAATACTCTGGGCATTGTGAACAGATACTGATCATTTAGGGACCCCCCCATCAATCTGCTGTGTTCGGAATGTGAAATAAGCTGCTTGCTGGGTTTTTTTGGTGCACCATTTTGCTGAAGCCGGAGCTGCGTAATGGTGAGAAAAGGCAAGTCATTTGTAGAGCTGCTTTATGAACACCCGGTAAGCCAATGACTAGCCCCACCGTTCTGGCTCACTCACAAGTGGCAATGGTTTCCAATCTATAGCTGCAAGCGGGGGAAGTCCCTTTTTAAGTGGACAGAAGTGGTTTTCCTGTGCTGCAGTCTTGTTCAGAGCTTTACCTCATTAAGTGGACAGTAATGGACTTAGGAAATATTTGCAATCTCAAAAACAGCACCATACAATTGTACACAGTAGCCTTTAAGAAAACAAAAAAATACTAAGGCCAATATCACACTTGCAATCCTATCGCTGACCACAACTTGACTGGATCCCTGTGCAGGTCAGAGAAATACTTGCCTGTCTATGGTGTTGTACCCTCACTGGTTGGACACGCAAGGCATCTCCCACTGGCAAGAATCTACAGAATGTCAACCAGCGAGAGAGCAAGACTTCCTTCATCTGGCCAGCCAAGGAGCAATACCATAGCAGCCGGTGAGTATTTACCTGGACCCTTGCAAACAGTCCTCACACTGACCATTGAAGCCAATGACTGGATCTCAAGTGTGCTACGGCCTATACAAGGACAGAGGGGAGAAGGGTCTTCTGGAGTTTATTTTTGCATCATCGTTAGAGTTGGCCGTTTCACGGACCCATTTATAAATCAACAGTTTTTGTAAAGTTCAATGATTATTGTGCTTCCTCTTTGCATGAGATAGTCATGACCCTGACATAGGACATAAACGCACTTGCACAGGAGGGTCGTTTTTTTATATACGAAGTGAACAGTTATCGGCATGGAGGCTGCTAATTCACTAAAAAGCAATGTCGGTGTGTTTTGCCATGGTGATATCACTGGCCACTAGCAAAGCTGTATCATTTTATTGTGAGTGGCTCACAAAATCGATAATCAGCGGAGTCATCTTTAACCCCTTCCTGCCGGCGCCTCCCGGCCCTTTAAGAGTTTCAGAAGCCGGGGAGGGGTTTAGGGATCATGTGACCGCCGTGATGCGTCGTCACGGCGGTCACATGATCGGGAAAGGTCACGATCGAAAGAGCAGACCGGGACCTTTCCGTGAGTACCGGACATGTGTGCTGGGAGCGGGCAGGGTGCGCGCTCTCAGCACATATGTTTTTTCTTACCCGAGCGCAAATGTGCGGCCGCTCAGCGTCTAGGCCCAGACGCCGGGAGCCCGCACATTTGTGTGCGGCTGGCGTAAATGGGTTAAGGGAAACTCTTATCAAGTGTCGTTTTTGGTTTGTGTTGGTCCTTTGTGTTCCGTACCTGAATTTCACCTTTGCGTCTCAATATTGGCAAATGGTGTTCGGTAAATCCTAATTTAGGAAGTATATTCAGAACCCATAGCTGTACCTTTTTTAGATGTCAGGATTCGACAACACAGATGATGTGATGGGTTCAAGACTTCCCAGAAGTCAATGGCTTCTTTCACATGAGTGGATTCTTGCTGGTGGAAGAACATCTGCGGCACGGCTTCTCTCTACAAACGAATGGCCAGCGCTGCCATATAAGCATGCGAGTAGAGCCCATGACCAGCCCTGGATGAAGTTTGCCTCCAGGGTTGTTATTACTTGCCACACAAACTGGCCTCCTTGTATGCGGCCATAGCATAGAGTGCTGCTGCATCCTGAGGTGTCGTTTAGATGCTTGTGAACACACAGCCTGTCTGCCCTTGTTTGCATGAGGCTTCTAGTGTATTGGAGTCATCTACATGGTGCCGTCACATCCACCTGCTACAGCCATGTCTGCTAGATTTGGCCTCTTTAAACTGACAATTTTTGGTTTAACAGAACTTTGTCCAGATAAGTATACTTCTCTACCACCTAGACTTCAAATACTGGTTTGCATTAAACTCCTTGCAGCCATAGCTACTAAGTCAGAAAATGGACACCTTGCAGCACGTAGTTTTTCAAAAATACTGGTTTGACCCACTATTTTACAGATAGTCCATGAACAGACGTCCCTGAAGGGCTGCATGAAACCTGAACTCCATTTATGAGCCCCGAGCCCTTATCTGAGATTAGCCATCCTGAAACACACAGGTGCTTGAGGTATCTGGCAGCTCCTCCTATAGCCACCAAATGCTTCTTTCTGAAAAGGGCAAAGACCTCACACAGCCCTCAGTTGTCCCAGAAATGTGTTGAGAGGTAGAAATCACTGAGCAAGCCCTGCATGAGCAAGTGAAAACCGTTCAATATCTCCCTGAAAAATCGAAATGAGAATTTACCAGCCATGAACCCCAAGACACAGTATACAATGGAGCTGGTCATTGTCTACTTTTGCTGCTTATACCTGCTATATATTGTCAGACCTTTCAGCATAAGCTTGTTTTTTTTTTTTTTTTTTTGTTTTTTTTTTTTTGTTTTAGTAACTATGAAGGGAGGCAAACCTTAAAAAAAAAAAAAATTGCATATTTACAGGTTTGGAGCTATTATTACTCTCCCTCAGTTTACTGTAGTAACTGGCAGATATTTATCTAATTTTATATTCAAAATTGAAGCGTTGTAGGCTAGCTAACAATACGGGCGTTATAATCCACGGTGCTACATGAAATTTTCGTTTCCCCTCCCACAAGACAATGCTGTGATTCTTTACGTACCCCTTCTCTCGCTCTCACTTTCTCTCTATCCAGATCTCCGGAGTAGCAGTTGTGTTTTTTTTTTTTTTTTTTTAAATTCGGTTTTAATCTCATTCAGTGACTGTTACAGAGCATTGTCCCCTGGAATTAAGATTAAGAAGTCCCTTTTAAAAGCAGGAAGAGATTTTAAAATAACAAAGATTTTTTTTTTTCCCCCCACCCCCGTTTACTTAAAATTTTTATTTTATTTTAATTCTAAACTGCCTCTGGGTTTTTTTTTTTTTGTTTTTTTAGGTTTTTTTTTTTTTTTTTTTCTCCCCCAGACTTTTACAACTGTGAGACTGGTTAGGGATGGAAATCACGTCACCCTTGTTTTGGGTCTTGTATACTGTATATTATGTGTGTGTATAAACATCACAGGGTCTGTATCGCAAGCCTCCACTTTCTGTTAGGCCTCGTGATATGGAATGCGAGGCTGCAGGAAGGAGCCGACCGCTATCATCACTCACGTGGAGTTTTTACACAATGATGTAACATTTGATCTTTCAGAAGAGATGTAATAATTTTGATAATAAAATACTTACCATGAAGTTGGCCTGTTTTTGTCTTTAATTAAATCTGTTTAGCCTGAGAGGGACGAGTAGTGCAGAGAGAGAGTACACAGAGGCAAATGTCACAGAACCCGATGTGCAGGACATTTATAAGGGAACTTTGATATACAGGAGGGGTGCAGCAAAAGATAGGGGTGCTCCGTAGTAGAAATGCAATGAGGCAAGATCACTGTGTAGAGGTATAACAGTGCTGGACTGCAAGAGGAAAACCAAGATCTGCAGCGATGCAATATGGCACAGCAAGCAGGAACACAACAGGGCTCAGGACCTCGCGTTGCATATGTCTGACTGTCCCTGGTGATGTCATAATGGAGGGAGGCCTGGGAGCAGGAGTGAACTGACAACTCATGGGGCCCCCAGGCAATAGGGGATCATGGGGCCCCTGTGTCCTTGCCCAAACTCGAAAAAGGTACCAGGGGCATCTCATGGGGCCCCCTACTGACCCCGGGCCCATGGGCAGTGCCCAAGTTTCCAAATGGTCAGTCCGCCCCTGCCTGGGAGTATGATCTGCGGAGGATGGTCTAGAGAGGGGGGGGGAGCTCTAGGTGTGTTGGCCACAAATTCAAATCTCCCAGGCAACACACCGCAGCAGGAGTGATCAGAGGGTGCAAGGAGGATGCTAGTCATGGGGATACAGAGGGGTGCTGCCCCTAGTGGCTTTGCCATGGTCTTTTGCCCTCACAGGCATAGGGAGCATACACAGAAGACGGGCAAGAGGAGGAAACTCTTTTCCCCCATCTCGGGTAAATACATGCCTGAGTGTGATTTATATTGACCTGATACCATGGCATGCCCTCTTCCAGTGCAGTCCAGGAGCGCGGCTGGGGGTGAGCAGTTTGTTGCAGCTTGGAAGGAAAGCCTACTGTGCCATCATTTGCAGAATGATCTCCCTTCTGGTGCAGTTACAAAATATTAACATTCCTAAGCTAGCAACATTGCATTCTGACATTAATGCATTGTTTTCATTTAGGCATGCGGGGGCCATCGGACGCATTGTGTGTAGAGCAGCCTATTCATTTCAATGGGTTATCCTACATATGAGAAACACAGAAAATAAGTCCCTGTCTCAAAAATGCACAGCACCGAACTGCATGGTTCTGTAGCCCCATGTAGTTTGTGCACTGGTTTGCAGACGCATGCGGGTGCCATTAACAATTAATAGTACTGCTGTGCATCTGCTAAATTTTGCACGTTCCCAACATGCATAGATGGCTTTACTGGCCAATGCGGGGTTCCCCTGACCATATGTCGGAGTGCTGGAGACATGAGAAAAATTTCTAGTATGAATTGACTTTAAAGTGTTACTAAACCCCGGACCCTGCATTCACTATATCTGCTCCCCCGGACCCTGCATTCACTATATCTGCTCCCCCGGACCCTGCATTCACTATATCTGCTCCCCCGGACCCTGCATTCACTATATCTGGTCTCCCCGGACCCTGCATTCACTATATCTGGTCTCCCAGGACCCTGCATTCACTATATCTGGTCTCCCAGGACCCTGCATTCACTGTATCTGCTCTCCCCGGACCCTGCATTCACTGTATCTGCTCTCCCCGGACCCTGCATTCACTGTATCTGCTCTCCCGGACCCTGCATTCACTATATCTGCTCTCCCCGGACCCTGCATTCACTATATCTGCTCTCCCCGGACCCTGCATTCACTATATCTGCTCTCCCCGGACCCTGCATTCACTATATCTGCTCTCCCCGGACCCTGCATTCACTATATCTGCTCTCCCCGGCCCTGCATTCACTATATCTGCTCTCCCCGGGCCCTGCATTCACTATATCTGCTCTCCCCGGGCCCTGCATTCACTATATCTGCTCTCCCCGGGCCCTGCATTCACTATATCTGCTCTCCCCGGGCCCTGCATTCACTATATCTGCTCTCCCCGGACCCTGCAGTCACTATATCTGCTCTCCCCGGACCCTGCAGTCACTATATCTGCTCTCCCCGGACCCTGCAGTCACTATATCTGCTCTCCCCGGACCCTGCAGTCACTATATCTGCTCTCCCCGGACCCTGCAGTCACTATATCTGCTCTCCCCGGACCCTGCAGTCACTATATCTGCTCTCCCCGGACCCTGCAGTCACTATATCCGGTCTCCCGGGACCCTGCAGTCACTATATCCGGTCTCCCCCGGACCCTGCATTCACTATATCCGGTCTCCCAGGACCCTGCATTCCCTATATTTGGTCTCCCCGGACCCTGCAGTCACTATATCCGGTCTCCCCGGACCCTGCAGTCACTATATCCGGTCTCTCCGGACCCTGCAGTCACTATATCCGGTCTCCCACAGTTCACAGAACATGGAAATGTAATTATTTTAGTAAGTATAAATGGCTAAATACCTTTTCTCATTAGCAGTACATAGCAGTCTTGTGACTTCTGTCAGTGTCCAGCAGAGAACTGGAGGAGTTTTCAATCTGAAGTCTGGATGGCGCTGACTGGCCCTGTGCTGATCACATGCACTCTCCCAAGAAAAAAAAAAATTTCTCTAGCAATATACACCAAACTGAGCATGTGCAGAGTGTCTCCATATGCTGTATCTGGTGATAAAGAGGGAGACACTGGAAGAAGGGGAGGATCAGAGAAGTCAGGATCAAACAGTGTTTTTACACAATGCAGAGGGTTAACCCCTTAGGTTCCACTGAGTATAACCAGGATGCTTTACTGCATATACAGACTGATTTTACTGTCGTGGGTTTAGTAATACTTTATTAAAGCAGCAAAGTGGTTAAATGGTTAGTATTTCCTCCTGGCAGTACTAGGGGTTGTCTGTTATAATCCCAACCACGGCACCACCTGCCTGGAGTTTGCATGGTCTCCCTGTGCCTGGGTGGGTTTCTTCCTACCCTCCAAAGACATGCTGGTAGGTGAATTGGCTCCTGTCTAAATTGTCCCTAGTATGTGTATGTATGAATGTAAGTTAGGGACCTTAGATTGTACACCCCTTGAGGGTTAGGGACTGATGTGAATGTACAATATACATAGAGAGAGAAAACTGTGTGAATTGATGGTGCTATATACTGTAAGATGTTTATTAGGAAAATATTTTTAATACAGGTATTTAAATTACTGCATGCCACAATTTATGAAAATTTTTCACATGACATGAATATCACATGCAATGTATGTTAGTGAATTGACCACCCCCAGTCCTACTCGGCTGAGGACACACCGGTGTGCTAATCCTTTTTTTTTTGCAGATCCATTGACAGTGAAGGCACAGGGACCTCCGTGTTCTTTTTCTGAAAAGTTTGTATCTAAAATTGTGGCGTAGAACGTAGTGGTGTTTATTTTTACAATTGGCAATGCGTACCGCTTTGTGTTTGCCCTTCTTCCTGAAGACCTCCTCGTGGCACTTATCAGCATTCAGCGTGATTAACTCTCTGCTGCCGCTCGCCCTCCGGTTCACCCACCTCCACACCATGTGCTGACGGAGCACCTCTAGTGCCAGCATCAGCAATCCCCATGGTAACCACTGCAAGGTTTCCATGGCAACAGAGTGCGCCTGTAGCACCTTCTCCCTAGCTGATCCTGCCTCCCTTGTTTAATCTCTACCTTCGCCCCCTCAGAAGTGAAGCCCTGCTTGCCCACTTGTATTGAATCTGCAGGCAATCTCTATTAAAGAATGTCTCTAGCCACCAATCAATGTAACCCTCCACCTAAATGCCAAGGCCATGCATCTCTAGGACTACTTTCCTGAATATATCTGTAAAAGAAGAATCGGTTCATTCGTAGAGTACCAACAATTCGCATAGTGTGCCTTCACTTCAGACCCTGCTCCCAAGGAGCTTACATTCTCTTCAGACCCTGCTCCCAAGGAGCTTACAATCTAAAATCCCCTTTTCACATGCATGCACATATGAAGGCTAATTTACCTACCAGCATGTTTTTGGAGTGCAGAAGGAAACCGAGCCAAACACAACCTGCAAACTCCATGCAGATAGTGATCTGGTGGGGATTTGAACCAAGGACCCCTGTGCTACAAAGCAGGACTGCTAACCGCTGAGCCTCTGTCATATTTCTTTTATCAGTAGTAAAACAATGGGCTTCATTTTCTGCTAGATATCAGCATAACAGCCAAACAGCAGTTTCAGAAGCAGAGGCCAGGAATAGCAGATTACATATTCTTCAGGTTTCCATTCATTAAAAAAAAAAAAAAAAATACCTACAGGACACGCCACAGGTGCTCTTGTGTACATTCAATTTCCATTCTCTGCTGAAGACCAGCCGAAAATATTAGGTGATATGTATAAATGATCTGGTATGCACGTCAGGTCCTTGTTTAGGCACTTCCTGTTGTAGTGACAATGCTCTGTCCCGTTTTCCCACTTATGCTCCTGTGTTGTCAGATAAAAACCGCATGAGCAAATGAATGCTGAAACTCCTGCGCTGGACGACGAGCTCCACAATGTCAGTAACCCCACATGGAGTACTTTTTGGGAACTCAAGCCTTGCCCTCACCAGACCAGGGAAATCCAAAGGAGCTGTGTGCAAAGAAACAAACAGAGGGCGCACGGGTCTAGTGCATTACCTTGTAAAAATGAGATTTATTGAATAAAAAGTAGTATACTCAAAAGAATAAAATCAAAAGCACATAAAAAAAGGCAGCATGTTCCAATCTCCCTAGATGGTGGCTGTTGGGGACTGTAGGCGTCCAAATAGCTGCCGCGTTTCGGGGCAGAGACTCTGAGGAAGGGGTTCTGCCTCAAAACGTGTCAGCCATTTGGAGGCCTACAGTACCCCAACAGCCACCATCTAGGGAGATTGGACCATGCTGCCTTTTTTTTTTATGTGCTTTTGATTTTATTCTTTTGAGTATACTACTTTTTATTCCACAAAAGACAGCATGGCCCAATCTCCCTAGATGGTGGCTGTTGGGGGACTGTAGGCGTCCAAATCACTGACGCGTTTTGAGGCAGAACCTCTTCCTCAGAGGCTCTGCCTCGAAACGTGTCAGTAGTTTGGAGGCCTACAGTCCTCCAACAGCCACCATCTAGGGAGATTGGACCATGCTGTCTTTTTTGTGATGTGCCTTTGATTTTATTCTTTGAGTATACTACTTTTTATTCAATAAATCTCATTTTTAGAAGGTAATGCACTAGGCCCGTGCGCTCTCTGTTTGTTTCTTTGCACACATCTCCTGTGTTGTCACCCTGTCGCACGGACTACCTGTAAAGACTATAAAGCATACACCTGTGGATGCCTTCATTCACACTAAACCGCATGGACGGGTGAATCTTGCACTGCAGCTACTATATTGTCACAGCGGACAGCACAGTGCCTGCGTCTGGACGTAAGAGGTGCTGTGCGCGCCCCAACAAATTTCCAATTTTTGTTTCATCCAGCTGTATTAACATACAAGTGAAAGCTATAACACCGATTTATGTCAGGGAAAAAACAATTGAGTACTGTCCATGATACTTTTTTTTTTTATTTGCACTAACAAAGAATTTTGAGGACAAGCTTTGTCAGGAAAACAAAAATTGAAAAACAGTCTCAGAGTTGGGAAAAGGATCACCCCCCCCCCCCCCCCCCTTGTATCAGTATTTTGTTCAACCACCTATTGCTTTAATTCCAGCCTTTAGTCTGTTGGGAGAGGTCTCTACTAACTTTGCACATCTAGACTTTGCAATATTTGCCCGCACTCTTCTTTGCAGAACTGCTCAAGTTCAGTTACATTTGATGGTGACTGTGGACTGCAGTCTTCAAGTCATTCCACAGACTTTCAATGGGATTTAAGTCTTGGCTCTGACTAGTTCATGCAAGGACATTCACCTTTTTCTCCTCCAACCACTCTTTGCTCACTTCTGCTGTGTGCTTTGGGTCATTGTCATGTTGGAAGGTAAACCACCTTCTCATTGACAACTTTCTGGCAGAGGACAGCAGATTTTCCTCAAGAATTTGATGGTATTTTGCCACATCCATATTTCCTTCTATCCTGACAAGTTCTCCAGTCCCTAGTGCAGAGACACCCCCCCCCCACCCAACAGGATATTACCACCTCCATGCTTTTCTGTAGGAATGGTGGTATTTGGATGTTGAGCTGGATTGGATTACCAGAAGACATATTGTTTAGTTCTGAGGCCAAATAATTCAATTTTAGTCTTGTCTTATATCTGACCATAGCACCTTTTTCCATGTGGCCTCAGAATCTTCATGGTGTGTTTTGGTAAAGCTCAGTCATGACTGCATGTGGCCTTTCTTGAGGAGCGGCCTTTTCTTGCAACCCTCCCATACAAGCCACATTTGTTTAGAATTTGTGATTTTGTCACATGCACACAATAACCACTCTTTTGACCACTGCTTCAGAGTTGCTGTAGGCCTCTTGGTAGCCTCTCTGACCAGTTTCCTCCTTTGCTCTTTTTCAAGGACTTCCTGATCCAAGAAGGGCGTGTGTAACAAATATCTTCCACTTCCTAATTATAGACTTCACTGTGTCTCTTCTAAGGGATTAATAAAGCAGTTGATTTTTTTTTTTTTTTTGTATCCGTCTCCTGACTTGTGCCTATCCACAATTTTATCCTGGAGATCTTATGACAGTGCCTTGCCAGCCATAGTTGATTGTTTTCTGCAGTTGCACTACCGGGGACTGAAATGCTCCAGGAAAGCTCTTTTCATGCTCAACTAATCAAAATGATCACAGCTGCCATTGAGAAGGTGGTTAGCTACACCTGATTGCGTTTACAAGTCATTTTTAAGAGGGGGGGGGGGTGATCCC